TGGCTGGCACCCCGGCTCACTAGGCTAATCCTCTGCTTGCGGCGCCAGCACCCCAGGTTCTAGTCCCGGTTGGGGTGCCAGGTTCTGTCCCGGTTGCTCCTCTTCCAGTCCAGCTCTCTGCTGTGGCCCGGGAAGGCAGTGGAGGATGGCCCAAGTGCTTGGGCCCCTGCACCTGCATGGGAGACCAGGAGAAGCACCTGGCACCTGGCTTCGGATCGGCGCAGCGCAGCAGCCGTAGTAGCCATTTGGGGGATGAACCAACGGAAATGAGAGACATTATTTGCAAACAATGCAACTGATAAAGGATTAAAACCAGAATATATAAAGAGATCAAGAAACTCCACAACAACAAAACAAACAACCCAGTTAAGAAATGGGAAAAGGACTTAAATAGACATTTTCCAAAAGAGGAAATCCAAATGGCTAACAGACACATGAAAAAATGTTCAGGGTCACAAGCCATCAGGGATATGCAAATCAAAACCACAATGATGTTTCACCTCACCTCAGTCCTTGGACCCCTGCACCCATGTGGGAGACTGGAAGAAGTTCCTGACTCCTGGCTTCAGATCAGCTCAGCTCTGGTCATTGCAGTCATTTGTGTAGTGAACCAGGGGATGAAAGACCTCTCTCTCTCTGTCTCTGTCTCTCTCTCCCTCTCTCTGTAAATCTGCCTTTCAAATAAATAAAATAAATCTTAATAATAAGATGAGCTGATAAATGGGTATGAGAAAGAGAGTGACTCTTCTCTGTGTCAAGAATGACTCCAAAGTTTTTAGTCTATACATTAGGGATGGAAATACTATTTATTGGAACTTAAGGGAGAAGATTAGAATAAGACCAGATTTAAGGAGGAAATCCAGAGGTCAGTTCTGAGATGCTCATTATATATTCTAAGCAGGGACTTAACTGCTGTGCCAAATACCCACCCTCTCCTACTCTTGGTAACCATTTGTCTCCACCAGGCATTTGAGATGTTTCCAGTTTTTTATTGTGACCTGGTTTATAATAAATAATTCTCAAAGGAATAGGATTTAGCCTAGTGGTTAAGATTGTGGTTTAGATGTTGTGTCCTACACTAGAGCACCTCGGTTTGATTCCCAGCAGGTAATTGGATCCTAACGCCCACATAGGAGACTTGGATTAAGTTTATGGCTCCCAGCTTCAGCCCACACCCAGCCTTAGCCACTGAAAGTATTTGGGAATGACTCAGAGGTTGGGAACACTTTTTGACTGGCTCTACCTCTCTGCTTCTGTGTCTCTACAATAAATACATAAGTAAATTTAAAAAAAAAGAAGCAAACCTTTTAATGTGTATAGTTTCTTCTTCTATTAGAACTATTCCTTAGGCTGCATTCTACTTTAAGTGCATGAACATTTTATTTTACTCTATTGCTTCTTTAAATTTTTGTGCAAGTTTGTTTACTTTTTTATTATCCTTAAGATTTATATTGTTAACCTTAACCTACTCATTATGTACCAGGATACTTCAAACTTTCATGGAAAAACAGGGGCCAGCATTGTGGCATACTGGGTAAAGCCACTGCCTGTTTATGTCCTGGCTGCTCCACTTCAGATGCAGCTCCCTGCTAATGGCCTGGGAAAAGAAGAGGAAGATGGTCCAAGTACTTGGGCCCTTGCCACCCATGTGGAGACCCAGGTGAAGCTCCTGGCTCCTGGCTTTGGCCTGGTGCAGCCTTGGCCATCGTGGCTGGCTGGGGAGTGAACCAGGGCTGGAAGCTCTTTCTCTCTCTGTCTCTCCCTGTCTTTCTGTAACTCTGACTTTCAAATAAATAAATAAATCTTTAAAATTTTTGCATGGAAAAGCAGAATTAAAAGATAAGTTTAATTTTGTGCTTGTTGCTTGCAAACTCCTGACTCCCTGAGTCTTGCCTGCTCCTGCCTGACTTCCTTCCTGGCCTGCCTAGGTTGGTGTTTATCCATCTCTCCTGGCTTTTACCCACTGAAATTCTTTACACTTCACTTTCTAAAACAGTTGACAGTGTTTTCACTGTGGTGGGGTTTCCCTAGTATTTGCTGCTGTTATTGTATGTTTAACTTCCTTTTCTTCTGGTAGATTTTACTCCATGGACAATACCCTCATGGCTGGTACCAGTGGTAAGGAAAATTTGTTGAATGAATTAAAGAATAATAATGTGAAAAAGAGAATTTATTTAATTGGCTATAAGTTGAAATTGGATAATGATTTTCCAGTAGCAGAATATTTTAGACTCTGAGGATAGATTTCTTCAGGGAACCTTGGAAATATGTGTCTTGCCTTATTTTTAAATATTGTCTTCATCCAACACTATTTAAAAACTTATGGTGCAAACCTACCATTACTTTTCTCTTTCCTCTGTTGTTGTTCCACAAGCTTATGAGGTGTTGAATGCAAATTGCTACCAGGAACAAATAAATGCCAGTGGAGAAGGAAGCCTTTGGCATAGAAGGAAGGGTGATGATCCTTGTCAGCGTTGCTTTCCTGTTAGGAGCAGTCTTCAGGCATTTGAGACATGTGCGGCGCGTCCTCACCTCAGCATCTCCTTGGGCTCTGCTTGAGCCCTTAACACCCTGTGCCCTGGTCCCTGCAGCTCTCCTCTTCACATCTCCCTTGGGCTGTCCTGGGACTTGGCCTCACTTTCCTTAGAGAGTAACTGTGCACTTGGATCTCATGTCATAGTATACTCTGATCACTCTTTCTTGGAAATTGTGTCTGTAGACCCTGGCAGGAAAATGTGTTCTCTTTGAATCTGAAGACATATATTTACTTTAAACAATGGATAGCACTTGTTGTTTTCCCCAGCAAATGCCCTTTGGTGTGTATTTCTGCTTCGCTGGGCTAAACTGTGAGATTCAGAAGGCTAGTGTGTGGATGTCTCTGGACTGGGTTGTAATACACGTGGCTTATGTGGAAGATGGGTTCCTGAATTGCTTGGCTGTTCTACAGAACTCCTTATTAAAGTCAGCCCCTTTATTTGTCTGGTCAGGTTGTTATAATGAAATACTATGGACTGGGCAGCTTAAACAGTAGACATTTACCTCTCACTGCTTTGGAGGCTGGGAGGGTGAGAGTGCCAGCAAATTCGGTTCCTGATAAGAGCTCTGTTCCTGGCTTCTAGACAACTGCTTTCTTGCTTTGAGCTCACGTGATTTTTCTTGGTGGGTGCAGATGGATTGAGATCACTCTATGTCTCTCTTGCCAGGGGGCTAATCCTATCACGAGGGCTCTGCTGCCATGACCTGATCACCTCCCAAAGGCACAAGCTCCTCACAGCATTACAAGGGGGTCACATTTCAATATATGAATTCTGCAGAGGACACAGTTCAGTCTATAGAATCTCCTTTGTAAAAACGCCCACCCATGCATTGCTTCTCATAAATAAGAGAAAAAGATTTTGTTGTAAGACCTGTGGACATAGTCTTTATCCTTTATAGTTAACTTGGTACAAAGCTTTCCCTAATAGCTGAGCCCATTTTAAGCAAATGAGCAAATGAGCCCATTTTAAGCAAATGAGCAAAATGCATAAATCTTCTACACATCCATCCTTTCCAAGGTAGTGTATTAGAAGAATGGATATTGAATTCTGTTGATGACCCTGATCAAAGATGAGTGCTTACCCGCTCTTCCCAATGAAACACCACATACTTCTGGGCAGTGGGATTGTCGCTCGTTGTGTCACACATCAGGGCGGCTCTGTTTGCGATCACAGGCATGTGAGTAGTTTCAGAAGCAGTAAAATTATTCATTTTGAGAAATTTGAATGAAGGCCTTACTGAAGTAGACAAATTTGTTTTGTGTTGAGTACCAGGCCCAGGGACTTACTAAGTTTTCAAGAAGTCTCTGGCCTTCAAAGAATAATTTACTCATTACTATTGGAAACGTGTTTTGAAACAGTCTTGATTTAAAGTACCCTAACATTGGCCGGCGCCGTGGCTCACTAGGCTAATCCTCCACCTTGCGGTGCCTGCACACCGGGTTCTAGTCCCGGTCGGGGCACCGGATTCTGTCCCGGTTGCCCCTCTTCCAGGTCAGCTCTCTGCTGTGGCCAGGGAGTGCAGTGGAGGATGGCCCAAGTGCTTGGGCCCTGCACCCGCCTGGGAGACCAGGAGAAGCACCTGGCTCCTACCTTCGGATCAGCGTGATGTGCCGGCCGCAGCAGCCATTGGAGGGTGAACCAACGGCAAAAAGGAAGACCTTTCTCTCTGTCTCTCTCACTGTCCACTCTGCCTGTCAAAAAAAAAAAAAAAAAGTACCCTAACATATCATCCTCCTTTTTAATTTTTTAAAACAATGTATTTATTTGAAAGGTAGGGTGACAGAGAGAAACAGAGATCTTCTCTCTGCTGGTGCTCTCCCCAAATGGCTGCAGTGCCAGGGCTGGTCCAGGTGGAAGCTAAGATCTCAGAATTCCATCCAGGTCTCCTGCTTGGGTGCAGGGACACAAACACTGGGGCCATCCTCTGCTGCTTTCCCAGGTGCAGTAGCAGGGCACTGGGTCAGAAGTGGACCACCTGGGATTCGAACTGTGCCTCTGCTATGGGATGCCGGCATCACAGGCAGCAACTTAACCTGCTGAGCCACACCATGGGCCCCCATCCTCCTTTTTAGTTAACTCTCTGAGTAAAGACAAATTTAAATAGAATTTGAGCCTCAGTTGTCTAGAATTTGCGGTGTTCGGCCTGGATAAATAAGATTTTACACTGAACCATTTAGAGGTGTTTTTTCTCTTTGCTGATATATTCTCAAAGATGATGACATCCATAGACGAAGCTGCTATAAACCTAATGTCTACTTTAGTTATTCTCCATCAGCCTTTCCAAATACCTTTTTGTGTTTCTGTAATTTTGGTAGAATCAACTCAAACCATACTCTGGGGGGGTCAAGAAGTGTTTACACTTCTTAGGTTCACAAACTTTCTCTCATTCCAAGTAGAAAATTGAAAGCTTCTCCTTGTATCCCTGGAAAGAAAACTGAAGCCAGGTGGGTCTTTTCCTTGCAGGAGAATGCCGTGAATGGAGAGCACCTGTGGCTGGAGACCAACGTCTCAGGAGACCTCTGCTACCTGGGGGAGGAGAACTGCCAAGTCCGATTTGCAGTGAGTGTGTCCTCTAGCTCTGGGCCTCTGGGTCTGAAGGCAGAGGGGGCCACTATGCTTGCATTTCCACAGTGAGGTTCGAAAGAGCCTGTCCATGTGAGATGGAAAACTTCACAAATGTTTTTAAAGTTTACAGAGGGAGCTTATCGTAGAGTTTTCAGGTTGTCAGTTTGAATGGTTTTGGGATTTGCTTGTGCAGGCCACACCTTGAATACTGATGCCCTGTGTGTGTGTGTGGAAAGAGAGAGAGAGAGAGAGAGAGAGAGAGAGAGAGAGAATATGTAGGAGGGAGCTTCTGCTTATGAAGACAGCCTGTGCATGAAGGAAGGGGGTGGGGCAATCTGTTTGTAGGGCATGGCTGTGGGAATGGGTGATACTGGGGATGCAGGTGGGTTATAGGGTGAAGACGCCTGTGCTGGCAGTGGGCATGGATGTCTTCTGGGAAGGATATAAATTAGCAATAGTTGGGTAGTTTGGAAACCTTTTGCTTTGTACGCTTTGCTTTGTGTCCCTGTTTGCAGAATCTGTTTATGTTCAATGAAGAAGGCATCGTTGCCAGGCAGTAAGTAAAGTTGAGAAAGTGAAGTTTTTGTGTAGTTTGAAGCTATTGGTCCAAAAGAGAGCAATGGGAAGCTTAGAATAGTAAAGAAGAAAGAAAAGATATATGCCTACATATTGGGGAAATGATGTCATCATTTACAGAATACATAAAAAATTTTGTTATATGAAAGATAGATTCAGGACAAAATGAAGGTCTTTGAAATTGTAAATAAATATATTTATATTAATAGAAAATAAGGAAGAAACTGAGTTTCTGTCAAGGCCTACAGGAAAATATATCTAGCCCCCAAGACTTTGAACAGGCTGCCTGAAATCAGAGTCCTGTAATCACAAGCCTTTACATTGCTTCAGCTGCTTTGACCTCTAGTTTGTGGACTTTGTTTGGCAAACCTTTGAGAATCTTGGGAAGAGCAGAGTTTTTCTGAGTGAAGTCAGGAATATTCAGCATCAGGGAGTTGCCCAGATGAGCGAGCTCTGGATTTGAAGTCAAGAAACCTGGGTTTGAACTCAAGGTTGGCACTCATGGTGTGACATTCAGAACTCAGATTCTTGGGTCTTGGCCTTCTTCTAGGTAGAAAAATAAAGTAGGATTAAATGATTTTAATTTTTGCATCTAACCCAGATCTGTAATTAATCGTTTGAATTTCTCCTAATCTTGTTTTAAATTGAATTGATTCAAATAACAGCATTTCAACTTTATGCATATGTATTTTTAATTAAAGCATAATTGCATGGAATTTGATTAAATTAACTAAATCCATGAGAAGCTCAGCTGTTTGGACTAAAATGCTATAAATAATGAATTAACATTCGGGTCTTAGTTAATTGCATAAACACTGGTCTTGGGATATCAGATAATTTAAAATGGAAAACATGAAAGCCACTCTTACTGAGACGTACACTTTTGAGCAATTGCTGCTGATCCTGCAAACAACGGATGGGCGATGATTTGTTAGAGTTTTGCCTTATCTTCAAATTGCTCTCTTTGATCCTTTTCTGGTCCTTTTTTGAGTTAACTATATCTTTATCTCTGTAAACGAATATATGAATAGACACATACATCCTCCTCAAACCTGTCTTGGTAAATACCACGCTATCCCCTAACCTGCTGTTACGTGGTCATTCTTATCTAAAGGTCAGGAAAAAGAGAATAAAGGAAATTTTAGGTTTCAGTGGGAGGAAACAGAGCCGTGAGGTTTCTCAGTGTCTCTCTGAACCTTCCTCATAATTTCATCCCAGGGTCTTGGTCCTATTAACACATCCGAGCAAGCATCTGCAAGGGAGAGTTCTCGCCACAAAACGTGGTGACTGAGGAAGCAGTAAATCCCTGGTGAAGTTGAAGACCTGGCTGTGTTTCCTTCCTCTGAGTCCCCTCGGGCTCTGTTTCTTCACCTGTAAAGTTGGGGGAAGGTTGTGTTGAGGATCTGCTGAGATGATGCATGGACAGGACCAACTTGGCCCAGTGACAAACATACTGAATTGAAACAAAACAAAGCCATATCACAAGGAAAAAGGACAATTTGCAAAAACTACCCATTCCCAGTATGTATGTGAAAAATATAAACAAAGGCACTCAAATTAAATGGCCATGAGGAGTGGATATCATGTGCCTATAAAATTAGTGAAGAGTTATGAAATAGCAGTACTTACTGCTGATTGGTTTAGGTGAAAATGGGCAGTCCTGTTATCAGCTGGCAGGCGTGTTAGTTGATACACTTCACAAAATTGCCAGTGTGTAGTAATGCATTAAAAAGGTTCCGGTTCTCTCTCCCCAGCTCATATCATGAAGACGGTGCCATCTTTGGGCATTGCACTTTGGCAGAGACATTGGTAAGCAACAGAGTGCCCAAGTTAGTTCTGGGTACAGAACCTTATTGAAAAAAACAGTTAAATAGCATGGGTTATTGAATGTTAAGTAGGGATGGTAGGGAGATGTCTTCCACAATTTGAAGGGCTGCTATGAAGGAAAGAGAAGTAACTTGCTATTGACAGGTGTTAGGAAGGTGGAACTGAGTCACAGAGAATCCCCTGACTCTCTGCTGTGGCCTGGGAAAGCAGTGGAGGATGGCCCAAGTACTTGGGTCTCTGCACCCACATGGGAGACCAGGAGGAAGCACCTGGCTCCTGGCTTCGGATTGGCGTAGCTCCGGCTGTTGCAGTCATTTGGGGAGTGAACCAGCAGAGGGAGGACCTTTCTCTGTCTCTCCCTCTCACTGTCTTAACTCTCCTCTCAAATAAATATGATAAAATCTTTTTTTAAAAAAAGAGCACCACGGATAATTCTAGTGCAGGTGGCCCACAGACCTCACTTTAAAAATGCTGCATGATAAGAAAAGATTTTATTTTTTAAAGTGATTTATTTTCTTTATTTGTAAGATGGAGTGACAGAGAGGGAGGGAGAGACAGAGAAAGAAAGAGATTTTCCATCCACTGGTTCACTCCTCAAATGGCCACAATGACTATAGCTAGGTCAGGCTGAAGACAGGAGCCTGGAACTCCATCCAGGTCTCCCACATGGGTTCAGGGGCCTAAATATTTCAGTCAGCTTCCTCTGCTTTCCCAGGTGCATTAGTAGGGAACTGGATTGGAAGCAGAGCAGCCAGGACTTGAGCCATGCTCTGATAAGGGATGCTGGCTTTGCAGATAATGGCTCGACCTGCCGCACCGCATCCTGGCTCCAAGAAAGGACTTTAACAACTAGAACACAAGAGCTCCAGGCACAAAGAGATGAGTGCAAAGGCAGAGTTCATGGATAACTTCAATGACCGCCTCTCAGAGGTGCTGAGAGGCAGGATTCAAAGCTGGTCCAGACAAGAGGTCAGAAGAGGAAATCTCTGTGTGAGTTGCCCGTTTAAATGTTTCGTTTTCAGCTTTCTTAGACTTGAACAACAGGTGTGTAGGAAGAAAACAAACACATGCATTTATAATTGGGGATTTTTCCCCATTGCCATTAATGAACCACCTTTGAAGAAAAGCTTATTTGTTGGTTGGGTCTGGGACCAAATGACCGTAACCAGGAAGTACCTGCAGGCTTCCAAGCAAAGTATAAGCAATGTGCTAAAGGAAGGGTGCATCAGCCACCCAAGGTGTGCCTTTCACTGCTTACCCTATTTTAGCAAAGAAAATGCCATGAATAGAAGTTTAAAAGAAGGCAGAAATCAGTGTGGGCTGAAGTAGACAGAGGTGGCTTCATGGAAATGGGGCTGAGCTCAGTCTTGAAAGATGGGTAAGATTTATAGAATTGGGGCTGCCAAAGAAGAACATTTCAGGCAGGGAGAGGAAGAGGAGCAAACTCAGAGGCAGGAGCAAGCTCTTAGAAGGGAAGTGGCAGTTGTGAGACAGGCATGACCACACCAAAAGCCGTGTGTCAGAGAAGAGTGGAAACAGGGGTGGATGGGCTGGGGCCTGTGCCTGCGTTTTCTGAACTGAAGCTCAGAGTGCGTGTTAGAAATGTGAGTGCACTGAGGAAGCATGACCATGTAACAGGTCGTCTAAATCAAGCCGATTTTGTGAGTGAGAGTGGTTGCTGTTGGTAACAAGATGGCACAGCCAGTAAGTCACTGCTTAGGGAACCCACATCCTGTGTTAGAGTTACTCTGCTTCTGATCTATCTTTTGGTAATGAACACCTTGGGAAGCATTGGGTAATGGCTTAAGTACTTGGGCTCCTGCCACCGGTATGGAATACCCAGATTGAATTCCAGGTCCCTGACTTTCTGTCTGGTCTAGTTTTGGCTGTTGTAGGCATTGGGGGAGCAAACCAACAGATAGAAGACCATTGAGTGTCTCTGTCTTCCTTTCTTCCTTTGCCTTTCAAATAAAAATGAAAATAAATAAATTAATTAAATAACAATTCCAAAAAAATGTGCTATTACAACTTTAGGGGTAAACTGGAGCTGTATCAGGGGTACTGAGATAGTCATTCTAATTTACGGAGAACTTGGAGCTTATATTTGAAATAGAAACTAAGGCCTCCTGCTGTCTGTCATATGGTTCATGTCTGGGGGCTGATATTGGAAGGTCCTGAAAGCAAGCAGCGACTTTAAGGGACCTTAGTACAATTGCAGGAGACCTCAATCCAAAGTCTCTGGGGCTCAATCACATGATCTTTAAAATCTTTCTTCTATGTTTCTCTCTGACAACAGTTAATACTCTGGAATATCTATGGGCAGACACTTGATGAGATTAAATTCACTCCCACATTAGCAGCCGTTTCTAAATTAGTCACTGTTTCTTTTTCTGGTCTAGAGAGGAGAAAGGGATGCAGGAGTAATGAAATTAGAGCAGAAGGGTCACTTTCCACAGCCTGATCGTAGAAGGAAAACCTGAAATAAAAGTCCAACCAGGAACGCTCGCATGTGGTGACATGTATTTTGATGTCCACATCTTCGTTCATTTATCCTGACAATGTTTATGGGCTGAGCATGCAGCACCAGGAAG